AAACAGACAACGGTGTGTAAATAAAGAATCCAAACAAATAAAAAATCCAGATGTACACATTTTTTAATTAGAAGAAAGAGGATGTAAAACTAATAGAGAGAATTATGTAAACAGAATCAAGTAGCAAAAAGTATTCTCATGAGCAATCCATTAAAGTACAATACCTCATGGTTCGAGATTGAAGTTTTTTATAAACCAACTCCCAAGAATAATGGGTGTTTTTAGGAATTTCAACACATAATATTCTGGTCAGTATAAGAAAGTATTTTGAACTATTTGATTTGTTGAAGAGTTAATAATCTGAAATAACGGACACAATTCATTTAAACATAATAGTTATCATATTTCAATTTATTTCCATGTAAATTGGTTGTTACATGCTGAGTTAGTACAAAGAATTATTAAAAAAAAAAAAAAGATAATTAAATCATGGTAAAATACAAAAAAATAAGTGCAGCATATTAAACTAAGTGATTTTTAACTAAAAGTCTTTGGATTGTAAAAGCACCACTTAACTCCCTATTTGAAATCTGGCAATAAATTCACTGCCAAAAAGCATATTCTACAAGGGTAAGTCAGAAAGTATGACTTCAAAATCATAGAAACCTTTACTAAATAAAAATATCAAAATGTGAAGCGATTATTTCTCAACATATCCTCCATCTAGGTTTATAAACTTCTGTAGGTGGTGTTTCCATCTCTCTAACCATTTCCCCCCAAATTCTCTGCTCTTCCATTTTCACCACATCAAGTCAGCCGTTTTGACAACCTCCAGAGAGACTCAAATTATGTTCCTTTTAAATGTTCTTTAAGTTTGGGGAACAAAACGGAGTGTGAAGGGGGAAGATAAGGGCTAGAGGGTAGATGGAGTAAGGTTTCCCAGTGACATTTTCTTTGAGTCCTTGCTGACCTCAAAGAATGAGTGTGTGCCTTGTCATGATGGAAAACAAATTCATGGTGCAACTTTCCTAGACTTTTTCTCATCAGTGAAGTTCTCTCCCAATGTTTTAATAAGCTCCTATGATCATCCTTCAAGAAAATCTATCTAGATTGTTGTTGCTGTTAAGTGCCGCTGAGTCAGTTCCAACCCATAGAGGCCCTATACAGGTTTCCTAAGAGTGGTTGGTGAGCTTGAGCCACCAACCATACAGTTCATACCAACTTTGCAGTCCAGCTCCACACCAGGACTCCTCCATCTAGATTGTTGTTGCTGTTGTAAAGTGCTGTCGAGTTGGTTCCGACCTATAGCGACCCTGTATAGGGTTTTTGAGGAGCAGCTAGTGAGCTTGTACCATCGATCTTTGGAATTCCAAAAACCTTCTGAGTTGACCTCTCTGCCTTGAATTTAACTGACCTAGCAGATCCCTTTGGAAGCCACTGTTTTGGTTGAATTTGCTCTCTGGATTGTATTGGCATATCCAAGACTCATTTCCGGTTATAAGTCATTCCACAAAACAGTCTTCATTGGCTTTGATCTTACCTAAAAGACTGATGGAAGGATCAGCTCTTTGAGCTAGCTGATCTTCACCCAACACTTTTGGGCATCTATCATGCGGAAAGCTTGCTGACGCCAAGGCGTTCACTTAAAGTTCAAAATACCAAACCAAGAGAAATCCCAACTTCAGAAGTTAGCACATCAATGGTAATTCTACGGTCTTCTTCCACAGATTCTGGACATCAGCCACAGTGTCTTAATTCACTGAGGTTAGTTAGTGCTCTCTTGACTAATCTTTGAGGTCTTCCTGACCTTCGTTAAAATGCTTGATCTATCTAACAGGTGGGGCAACATTGCCAAAAACTTTTTTCAAAACAACAACAAATTGGGAAGATGTCCACTTGAGTTTTGTTAAAAATGTGGTATTAACCCTAACCTGAAAATAGTGTTTCTAAAAGCACAAAAAGTATCTTGTTTTGAAGGTACCCTAAGAAGACTAAGACAATTGTGAAACTAAGAGAGCTTGTCTGCAGCCATTCACTGATCACAGAGGCATGGTTAAAATCTTTTTTTTTTTTTTTTCATGTGTGAACTGGAACCCTAGCAGCAGTACTTTCTGACTTACCCTCATATACTGAATGAGATCATCATCCCATGGAATACAGTATTTCTAAGTTCAACATACGAATACATTTTGGTAACCACTAAATGTCAAATACTATCCATAGAGAATATTAACACATTAATGTTTTCATTAAAAAAGAAAGATCTCTTCCTTCATTACATTATGTATTTATGGAATAGAGATCTGTCAAATAAATTACTGCAAAGTAGTTCAAGTTAGATCTTATAACACTCGAATCATATAATCAAGGGCAAGTAACCTTTAAAATGAAAGAGAAATGGTAAAATTTAAGAGCATTTAATTTGCATAAATGTAATGTTAATAGTCTTTTCCTGGTTACATATTTTATGCTTAATTTATATATGTCACTCTATTAGGACTTTTAGTACTCTTATAGGTCATTTTCAATTTTTTCAATTTTATTTTACTATAATAAGTAATATGGAAGTTCTTTATCATCTATTAAAATAAGCTGATTTCATAAAAATAACTCTATGACTCTAGAAACACTGCAGCTTCAGGACCATGTTATAGCATTTTATGCTTTGGAATAAACTTCTGTATCTTAGGATATTGTATATATAGAAATCATACACAACTGTTGGTTTCTCATAACTCAATTCCAGGCAGTTCCTCCAGCTCATGCATCCTTGCAGTGTTGGCATTGAGGAGGAATCTTAGAACAATCAGCTTTACATGGTGCATGGTTTGGTCTTTTTATACTTATTTTAATACTTAGAATATAACATTAATATTTGACACCTAAGGTTTTGGCTTTAAAGTTTCATCCATTAATCTTGTACTATAAACAATGAAACACATTTAAGTACAACTGCTTAGACAACACTGTGTCACCTTCAGTAATAAACCAGAACAAATCACCCATCAATTAACCATATGATGGTAGTGTCATCACGGTCCATAATCTCTAAATCAGAAAATTCCTGTAGTGCGTGAATTCAATTATAGGCTACAGTTGCATAACAAAATGTCAATTTATATCTCCAACCGTTACTGGGAGTTGATTCTGCCTCATAGTGACCCTCTAGGGCCGGACTGCCCCATATGGTTTTCCAAACTGTAAATCTTTACAGAAACAGACACTCACACCTTTTTTCCATGGATTGACTGGGTGGTTCAAGCCAATGACCTTTCAGTTAGCACTTAACTACGGTACCACCAGGATTCTTAATTTACACATAACAAGTATAATTCTTTTTCTTGACTTTTCTTGACTCATGCTTATCTGTCAATAACCAATAGATTGGTTAAGAAATAATTCAACTGGACAAAGCACAGTAAAATTCCTTTCTATAAGAAAATTTTACCTCTAACTATTCCTTCCATCTTTCTCTGCAACAGTGTTTGAAACAAATGACAGTTGGCCATATTCACTTTACTCCAAATTGGTTATTAAAGGATTGAGACAATCTTTGGGACAAAGGGTAATTCTTTGTTGCTCATTTCAGCCAAATTTGAAATAGCTATATAAATTATGAGAATTGAAAACATACTTTTATCATTGCCCTTTCATTTTATTACCTAGTACTTAATGTTAAAATTAAGGATCATATATGCATGTTTATCCCACATTTGCTAGAAACTGCTACAGTACATGACTTGGGAGGATCTACTCTTACAGAGATGCCCACAAAACCACATAAATTACAGTCTTTTCAAACTGCTTCTCAAAAGCTTGCTTTAAGGTTCCTGATTTTTCTTATAATATTCCTTTCTAAAACATGTGTAAACACCATAGACATAATTTTTTAAATGAGATTTCTACACTTATTTTTTAAAATGAGATTTCTTCTTAGGCAAATTATTTTGCTACATAACAACATAAAACTCTTTGTACTTGTGTGTAATTTAAAATATATGTATAAGAATGAAAGCGATAATGTATTGGTTCAAGCTTGATTATGGTATTTATTTACCGATTATACTGTTGGCTAGATGGATTTACAGATAATTACATACCCAAGCTCTCCTCTAACCAAAAGAGAAAAAAACACACTGCTGAGATCTATCTATATGTCGATAGATAGATAATTGGAACATATTATATTAGCAGTCTCTGAAATAGCAAAGTCCAAAACAAGTACATTTTATACTGAAATAGCACAATGTTTTTTTCATCTAAAAATCATATTGGTGAAAGTATCTAAAATGTGCAACTTCTGCATTCTCTGACTCCAACAAAACTTAAGAAGAAAACAGACCTCTTAAAGAGGTGGAATTGTGGTGAGTAGAGTTACTGGGTCTGCAGATAATAAGTACTTACAATATTCACAACAAAATGGACTCGTATCAAGAATTTGCTTTCATTGGGATATCAGCTATCTTCCAAATATGAAAACATTACTGAATAATTCCATGGAGTATAGAGAACAATTGCTTCTAGTTTGTTGGTTTTATTTTCTGTGAATTTGATATCATATTACATAAATTAGTATTTAACCTATTGATGTTTATGGCTTTTCTTTTTTGGTAGAGCAAAAGGGCACTTTTGTTAACTTGTTCTTAAATATTAGCTATAAACTACCCTGGAGTTTCACAAATGGCTTGCAAATGTCCCAAATCTTTTATCATATTATATAGGCATTTCTGTTTTTCAAATTAATAACAAGATGTAAATAAAACAACACAAAATACTATGA